TTTGTGATACCACAACCCCCTAAAATGAATTCGTGTGACCCCACCCTGACTGCTTGGCTTTATACTTTCAGCGGACAGCATTTTCTGACAACAAATTGAAGCTGTTCTATTCCAGTAACAAAAACACTTGTGAAACCAAAAGATACGTCACTTTCATACTTTCTTGATTTAGGCCTATTTTTATCAGCAATATTGGTAGATTTTTCATCAGTTTTTCGCTTGCTTTACCACACAGAAAAACCTTTCCGTTGTAAGGCTAAAATTGCTGGGGAAAGAACAGATTAGGAACTATATAGAAAAGCTAAACATACACAAATCCATGGGCCCAGATTTAATGCATCCGAGGGTACTGAAGGAGTTGGCAATTATCATTGCAGAGCCTTTGGACATTATTTTTGAAAACTCATGGAGATCGGGAAAGATCCCAGATGATTGGAAAAAGGCAAATATAGTGCCCATCTTTAAAAAATAGAAGGACGATCCAGGGTACTACAGACTCATTAGCCTTACCTCAGTTCCTGGAAAAATCATGGAAGGGATCCTCCAGGAATCCATTTTGAAGCACTTGGAAGAGGGGAAAGTGATCAGGAATAGTCAACATGGATTCATGAAGGGCAAGTCATGCCTGACCAATCTGATTAGCTTCTATGATGACGTAACTGGCTCTGTGGATATGGAGAAGTCAGTGGATGTGATATACATTGACTTTAGCAAAGCTTTTGATATGGTCTCCTACAATATTAGGAAGAGCATTACCAGCAGATCTAGAGAAGTGATTATTCCCCTTTATTCAGCTCTGGTGAGGCCACATCTGGAATATTGTGTCCAGTTCTGAGCCCCCCACTATAGAAAGGATGTGGACGCATTGGAAAGGGTCTCGCGGAGGGCAACCAAAATGGTTAGGGGACTGGAGCACATAACCTAAGAGGAGAAACTGAGGGATTTGGGCTTGTTTAGTCTGCAGAAGCGAAGAGTGAGGGGGGATTTGATAGCAGCCTTTAACTTCCTGAAGGGCGGTTCCAAAGAGGATGGAGAAAGGCTGTTCTCAGTAGTGACGGGATGGCACAACAAGGAGCAATGGTCTCAAGTTATAATGGGGGAGGTCTAGGTTGGATGTTAGGAAAAACTATTTCACTGGGAGGGTGCTGAAGCATTGGAAAGGGTTGACTAGAGAAGTGGTGGAATCTCCATCCCTAGAGGTTTTTAAGTCTCGGCTTGACAAAGCCCTGGCTGGGTTGATCTAGTTGGGATTGGTCCTGTCTTGGGCAGGGGGCTGGACTTGATGACCTCCTGAGGTCTCTTTCTGCTTTATGATATGTGAGAAAAAGTTATAGAGCTTTACCAATTGTTTGTATATTTCAGTGTGGCCAGCCCGTGGCTCACAAGCTACATGCTGCGCTTTCATTAAAAAATTGTGGCTCCTGATGGTATTGCTCAGGCCGGCTTCTCTGCACAAGACTGCTCTCAGCGGGGCCGCTCTGAGCCGCGTTCCAGTGTGTGCTCGCAGCCCACCACTCTGCTTGCAGCCCCTCCCACTCCGCGCATGGCGTCCCAGCCAGTGCTTGCTCAAGGCCGGCCACTCAGCGCATGCACCCTAGCACCTGGAAGAAGACACACGTGGCGGTAGGCCTTAGGTTAGAGCGGGGCAGGGGGGGATCAGGTTGGAGTGGGGAGGCAGGGGGCTGGCTCTGGGGGAGGGGAGGGAAAGGGATGGGGGGAGTGGGTGAGGGGGGAGTAGGCATTAGCTCCAAGTGCTCTGGAAGTGTGCAGCTGTCATGGGGAGCGAGGAGCAGAGCGCACGCTTCCTGAGCAGTTGGAGCTGGCACAGTCTTGGAACTCCCCCTCCCCACAGGCAGGAAGTAAGTTGCTGGTGTGCCACAGACCTAGATGTTCAGGAAATGTGCCGGCAGTCTGGGGGAAGGGAAGCAGTGCACATGCTTACTGAGACCCCAGACTTGCCGTACAGCTGTAGGATCCCCAGCTACTGGCCCCAGATGTCTCTGTCCCTTCCACCTAGCCAGACCCCTTCCATGAGTCCCTGCCCCCCGCACCAGCACCTTACTCCAGCACCCTATTCCCTGCCCCCACCAGCACAGTTGGGGCTTCGGGGCTTTTGAAGGGGTTGTTTTTTAGCATCTCACTTGTGTGGCCCTGACTAACTTTTCTGAAGGGTCAGTGACCCCTGACTCAAAACAGGTGCCCTGCCCCTTTCATAAATAAAGACAACACTGAAACATGTTGTGTTTGATATAATATTTTATTTAAAAATGAAGCCTGATCAACAAGCCGCCAATTGGGGCCATGCCTGCATCTGGCCGCAGAATCATAACACTCCTGCACACACACCCAGACCTGAAACCTGAGCCTATCATACACTGGAACTCCCTGTCCTGAGCTTCTCATATCCCAAACTTCTGCACCCCCACATCCCCAGTCTTCTGCCACAAGATTGCTACACCAACCGCTCACTGCAAATCTGTGTCCTGGGCCCGTGATACTTCCAGCCTCCCTGCCCTGAACCCCTCATACAGCCCAACCCAAACTTGTGCACCCGCACATCTGCCAGCCTGCGGTTTGCTCAGCACCCAACCCTCCACCTGACCCCAACACTCTCCAGCCTGGAGCCCCCTCCCTGAGCCAGCATCCCCTTCTCCTTAGGTGCCCATGCCCCTGGTTATGAGGAGACTTCCCATGTTCCCCCACCCCCAGGCCAATCAGGGTCTGGGGGTGGGGGAGCATGCAAAGTTTCCTCCTATCTGTCCCTGTCCTGCACGGCACTTAAAAGTGCCACATGCTCCTGGCAGGGCAGGAGGAGGTCCTGATTGCCTGCTCCCCCGCCCCCAGGCCAAAGTTTTCTCTGTCCTGGCCCTGCCCTGTGAGGAGCATGCGGCACTTAGAAGTCTTCCAAGTGCCACGTGCTCCTGGCAGGGTGGAGGAAACTTAGTGCTCCTCCCTCCTCCTCCTCCAGGCCCTAATTGACCTGGGGATGGGGGAGCAGCAGGGCCTCTGTGGGCCCACCTTATAATAAGCTCCATCTAGGTTGTACTTCCATAGTTTATTGATGAGAAGATCATGTAAGACTATCAAATGCCTTACTAAAGTCTAGGGGCTCGTCTACACTGGCCCCTTTTCCGGAAGGGGCATGTTAATTTCAGAGATCGTAATAGGGAAATCCGCGGGGGATTTAAATATCCCCCGCGGCATTTAAATAAAAATGTCCGCCGCTTTTTTCCGGCTTTTAGAAAAGCCGGAAAAGAGCGTCTACACTGGCCCCGATCCTCCGGAAAAAGCGCCCTTTTCCGGAGG